GCTGTAGGACTCCTTCGCTTCTCTGACCCACCGCCAATCAGTCACCAAGACTTCAAGTCCACCTCTGAATGCTCACTTCCAATGGAAGTTGCTCTGCCAACCATCTTCCTCTGGACCACGTCCATATTCCAACAAGATGGACTTTCTTAATGTGTAATTTGGATATTTCCAGCTTCCCGCTTAAAATGTCAAGGGTTTCCCCTTGAAGCTAGAATAGAATCCTAACTCTTGACCCTGACCTACACGGTCTAGGTGGCCTTCATCTTTCTTCGCTGTCCCTCTTGCTCATATTCCAGCCACGTTGATGTTAGTTAGTGGCTGGAATAAAGTAAGCTCTGCACCAACCCGGGGCCACTGAGCACGTGCTCCCCTCTGCTTGGGATGTCCCCCCAGCCCGCCCCTGGATCCTGGCTCACTCAGTAGTCGGTGTCCTCTCAACCTTTATGGTGCAGGGTTCCTGACCCCTTATCTAGAGTAGGTTACATCTCAGTCGCTGTTTGCGTCCACCTTAGCATGTTGCATGACCTGTGCCTGCGGCTTCCCTGTTTACCATTTTATCCAACCCTAGCATGATGACACCCCAAGAAGATATTCACAGTAATTGTTGAATGAGCGGTTATTTCCTACAGTTATGGCGACTGAACGAAGGTGGAGGAGGCTGGGACAAGGGCAGGTGCTTCGGAAACAATTCTTCCGCAGACTCCACACTGTGGACGTACGGTTATCACCCCTGTTTTCTTTAGGGCTCAGCTAGAACATGAGCTTTGCTCACCTACGACGTGAGCATCTTTGCCGAGTACTTTGGACCTGGCGGGGATGAAAGATGCTTTGTGAATGTCAATTGTAAACACAAATCAGAGTTCGGGCCATGAAGCTAAAGTAAATGTGCTATTTTAAATTCCACGGTGTTTTCATTGCATTTTTATTTTCGGGAGGTAATGATTTATAGTGTTTAGTGATTTATTTTTAATCTATATCTCAAAAATTAAGTGCCCATTAAAAGATTCAGGAAAATAGAAAGGAATCACATATAAAGAGATTAGATGGCTGGTAAGCATCTCTACCCCCCCCCTAATGAATTCAGCAATTAACCAGTATCTGTGTGATTTTTATCTATTCACTTTTAAGTGATCATTACACTTATTTTAGTGTCTACTTTGTTGCTACTAGTTCAATATATCGAGGGAGTAGAAATAGATTTTAAGTCAGAAACATGTGAGCCTAGTACTGAATGTCTGCAGCTTACATTACAGCCTGTTTATAAAAATTCTAAGAGATGCCTGAGCACCCCTCTTCCTTTTCCACAAATGGAAAATCCAAGTAAAAAGAGAAACACGATGTGTCCAAGGGCATTTGCGACATCCATTAAAATAAAATTTTCATTTCATCAATAATCTCACTGCCTCAAGCAGCCACAGACAGCCCGAGGGTCTCCCTGGCTCCCGGAGAGGCCCCCCCCCTCCCAGGTCCTCACCGCCTGCCACTGGGTGTTCTCACGTAGCATCAGGACAGACATATCCCTGACCGCTGTGTCCCGCTGACATCAGTCCCTGGCCTTTCTCCGGTCTGACCCCGACCCCATGCCTGGCTCTGTGCACTCCTGTCCCTGCCTTGTCCTTCAGCTGTCCCCGCTCCTGACCCTGAACTTGGGGAACTTGACTCAGTCTGTGGTAACTGCTCTGTGACTTCCATCTGCTCCAAACATTTCCTCCTCCTCGTCCATCCTGGAACTGGCTCAGGCCCGAGGACACTGCCTTCCTTGCAGCCCCCCAGTGTCTTCTCCACACCCCTCTGCACCCCCGAGCGTCACTCTGCAATGCCCCAGGGGGAGCAGTCTTCTTTATTTCCCTGTTGACAGCGCCCCAGCCCCTGCCCGCCCCCACCCTGCCCCCACATCCACCACAGTCTGTGCCCGTGGGATCTTCCTTCTCCTTCCAGACCCTCCGCTGGACTTCCCAAGGCTCCCCCCGCGCGTGCCCAGTCTCCTCCTGTCCTGTCCGCTTCTCACAGCCTCTGTTCTTTACTCACCACGACTACTCTCCCCACGTCTGCCCGGGGGGACTCGGGGGGCCTCGCTGTCCAATGGGCGGCCCTTCCAGCACCCAGGCTTCCCAAGGCGTGATGTCCAGTCACCCTATCCTCCACTTCAAGGTAGGGGCCAACACTCCTGGTCCTCCCTGCCTTTGTCATTGCGGTCACTGCACCCCGCCCCCACCGTGACCTCAGTCCCGTTCTTCCGCCAATACCTACTGTTCCAGCTAAAGCCCTCGGTAGCCAAACCCCAGAGCTTCTCTGCACGCCCTGGGGCCTGCACCCAGCACACCCGCGCCCTTCCCCGGCTCACGCAGCTGAACCTCAGCCCGGTCACCGGCCCACACAGCCGTCCTGGGAGGCGGCTGCACCCCGCTGCCTTTCTCCAGCTGTCCTGCACAGGTGGGTGGACAGAAAACATCCAGGCTCACGGCCTTCACTCCAGGTCCCTCTGTTCCTGGGTGTGTCTCTCCACCCTCCTACAGGACAACGTCACGGTCCTCTCCTCTCCCCGTCGAACTCTACCCAGGTTCACTCTCCACTGACGACTGAGCTGCTCTGTTCACTGGGAAGGAGACACAGTCAACAGCACTCTCCCCGCCACGACCAGGTGCAGCGGCCACTCCGGTCTCAGGCCCAGTCCTCAGTCAAGTGGTAGCCGATCAAGGACGTGGCCCCTGACATTCTCTCCCCTCCTCTGCACCGCCACCCTCCCCGTTCCTCCACCGATTCATTCCCATCGGCGCGTAAACACGGGGCACCTTTTCTCATAAGAAGACAACTCACTGCCTTGAGCCCCCGTGCCCCCTCCTAGCCTTTCCATTCTCCTGAAGTCCCCAGGAGAAAAGAGACCCTCGCCCGTCCCTCTGCGCTCACACGAACCCCATCAGCAGGCTTCCGCCCTCGCCAGTCACCGGTCAGGGGCACCCGTGCTCCCCAAGCTTGGAGCCCAGGCCCCACTCGCCTGTCCTGCTGTGCCAGCCCGGGCGCCGGTGGGCTGTCCCCCCAGAACTGCTTTCGTCCCAGCTCCCAGCTCCTGGGTTTCTTCCCACCCAGCCCCACCACCTTATACGGCTTTTGACATAAAACCCAAACAGACACACTGCGTGTGGTCACTTCAGAACCTCCGTGCTTGCTTTATCCCCTGTCTGGAAACCTCTTCCCCAGACGTCACCACGAGTCCTTCCTTCACGCCTGCCCTCACAGGTCACCGACTCCGCGAGACTCTTCCCGACCACCTGATACAAAATCTCCCTCCTGGTGGCTTCGTTTCTCTCCATCACGGTGCTGACTGCCTGACATAAAGTGTACCGAACACGCTCACATGTGTGTAACATACAGGTGTCCCCAACTGGAACGTCAGCCTGACGCGGACTTCTTTTCTGCTCCTCTGCTCTGGTGACTGAGAACGGTCTACAGTGCATGTCTAGTGCCCAGTAAGCATCTGCTGAATGGAGGGAGGGAGGAGGGAGGGAGGGAGGAGGGAGAGAGGGAGGGAGGGAGGGAGGGAGGGAGGGAGGGAGGAAGGAAGGAAGGAAGGAAGGAAGGAAGGAAGGAAGGAAGGAAGGAAGGAAGGAAGGGAGGGAGGAAATGTGGTTCTTTAGGAAATAAAGATCAACACCACAGTGATGCACTATGTCTCCATGTTGCACAACTAATCAGAGTAATATGGATGTGACCACGGCTGGACGAAGTGTCTAGGAGAATGCAAAGTGGCCCGAATTTTATGCAAATCTAAGGAGATGACTACAGTTGACCTCTTTCCCTACTAATCACCCAGTGATGCTGAAACAAATGGAAACAATGTGTAAATATCGGAAGAAGCTAGAGGAGAAGGCTCGGCCATCCAAGCAGAAATGCCAGGGTGAGTCGGGGAGTCTTGCCTAAGACGTCTCAGGGTCCCTCAGGAAACGCTGGGAGACGCAGAGGTTCTCCTAAACAGGTGAGCCTGGGAGCTGTCTACTGGTTCTCACCGCAATAAAGGAGACTCGATTCCAGTTGTATTGAGTAAACACATACCTGCTACTTTGGAAATCCGCAGTATGAAAGTATGAAGGAGGCATACTGTCACCTGTTATTCAAGGAGCTGAAGATGAGTCTAGTTTTTTTAATCCTCCTCTAATGCACCCTTTGTGTTTTCCATCTCCTGTTGAAATGGGCAGTCCGACACACCGGAGAAAAACACACGAGAGGGACGCTCCTCGGCCACCTGAGCGGCCACTCTCACCAATGGGTGCTCTGACCCGAGTGGGCCAAGCCACCCCTGTGAGGGTCAGTAGGAGAGTCGAGGGGGGGGGGTCACCCACCACGGTGTCAACTGCTTGGTGTGCTCCAAGGATAACGTGACATAAAGATTTAACATCATAATACGGAGCTGGTAATCCATGTAAGGATGATGAGATTTATTTTTGAGCAAAAGTGTGTGTGTGTGTGTGTGTGTGTTTATTTACAAGCATCACATTCTATACCCCATATCTGACACACATCATTTAGCACCCTGAGTCATTTACTTGGCACATCTATTTAAATCAGACGTGTCTCCGTGAGCACCCAAGCATAGACAATCTACCTCAAACGGACGTCCTCATATGGAAGTCACAGTCACAGCACACAGGAAGGGGTGGCAGTGAGCACCAAAGTCCACCGGCTGGGGGGAAGGGCAGACGTCGTCTCGGGCTGTCTGGGACCCAGGCCCTTGGGCGGAACCCATCTCGGCACTTCTGTGTTTGCTGTCTACCTGCTTACTGCGGGCTCTGGGGACGCAGCGCTTGGCAGACACATGTGCCAATTAATACCCTGTCAGGGCTGACGGACAGAGAGGGCAGGAGTGTCCTCACGCGGCCTCCAGCGCGGCATTCCGCCCCGAGGGGCGCACGGGTCAGGAGACCCTGCCTCCCTGGGGGAGCCCCGGCGAGCCCGGCAGGGTGTCTTCCAGGACACGGCGGTGCAGCCTTGGGGACACGACTCACCTGCTCTTCTCCAAGAATCCTGAAGTGATGGAGTTCTTTAATCAAGGAGTTGGGGCAGCCAGCTGTTGGAGAAAGAAATTAATTAGACACGTGATTCCTGTTCTCTATGGTAACTGTTCTTGTACAGGTATGACAGCTGACAGCCAGGGCTGTGAGCACACCAGCACCTACCTGCAAACCACATTCTGACCAACCACCAAAAAGCCAAGCCCCCCAGGGAGCCCTGGCTGCTGCCAGCCCCCACCGACTCTTCAGGAAGGAGCCGTACGTGAGCTGGGGGCCAGGCTTTCGTCCCTCCCTGTTGTGATCTGGTCTCTGTGGGGCCTTTGGGAACCACGTTATTTCTGCCCAGCATGCTATTGCTCCTAGTAAACAAGCAGGGTTGCAGGAGGCCAGGGTGGGGAGCTGGTCAGTACAGGCTCATGCACTGATTGGTCCCGTCCTCGCCCCTCCCCTCCCGGCTGGGGGCGTGTCCATCGAGAGGAACTACATTGGGTGCCAGGTAGGTACTTCAATGATCCGGGAGATTACTTTGTAAATTATGCCATTGTCTAATCACTACGCTGAGCACCTGGGACCAATATAAAATAATATTGAATGTCAACGATAATTGAAAAATAAAAATAAAAAATAAATTAAAACATATGCAAATTATGGAAAAAAAGAATGAAGATAGAGCAGCTGGATCCCCGTCTTCACTAGATTTGGTTCTGGTTTAGGAACCTCCCCGGTCCTCCCAGGAGGCTCTGTTCAGACCCTAAAGACCCTGCATGTCAGTCTGACAAGGTCTCTGCTGAAAAGGATCTGGGCCGGGCCAGTCCTGGTGCCCGTCACTGCTAGTTTCACCCTCACAGTGGCAGCCTGGTTGTTTCTACATGTTCTCTCTTTAGCACTGAAAAGAAATAAGTAAATAAATCTCACACACACACACGCGCACACCAGTGCACGCTTGGTTATCATTTAAACTGTGTTCCATCCCTGTCGTTGAATAGACTTGTCCACTTTGAATAGACTTGTCCACAGTATTAGTCTGCAGTCTATAATATTAACTCCGGAAACTGAGAGGAGGTAAAAGCCGTTTCTCGGAGGTCAGATCTATGGATTATACAACCTGCTGAAGTTCCTACTGAGGAACTGGGCTGTGCTCCAGTGGCCCCAACACAGGCCCCTCTGTTCCGCGTCACAGCCCTGTGAGGTAGGTCACCATGGCGGACAGACCGAGGACACCGTCTGGGGAGGGCGGGCTGCGGTCCCCGCAGGGGCGAGGAGCGAGCCTTTGCACGGGGCTCAGGTCTGCGCCTTCTTCAGAAGGCAGGGTTTAAAGCAACAGGCAAACATGACCGTGGAAGACTCCGGTTCAATACAGAGACATGTCCCATTTAGAAACGGAACGCAAGGCCTCACCAGCTAGGGCTTCAGACACCGGCTAAACGACTGTTTACACGGGACATTTTAGCAATGAACTTGATGGGTCGGTTCCAGTTCTGCAAGTCTGTGGTCATGGAAAGGTGCTGGGACAGTGTCCCTCTTTGACGCTGCGTTTGGTGTGGCTCTTGCTATTACAGTCTTTCATACTCTGGGAAGGTCGTTCATTCATATAAGCAGGTGATGTCATCGCCTGACAACAGTCCAGGAAAATCCTGAGGGGTTATTCTGGGGGAAAACCTAGTCAGTCAATTGCAGCAGGCACGACCGTTTAGAGCCAGACCCTTGGCATCGCAAGATGTGCTTGAGCTGAGCTTCTCCACTGCAGGGTCTTTGGAGAGGTTGCTCAGTTTGGAGTTGCTATTCGGGTGACTATCTAACCAACCAGGAAAACCCCGTCCGGGATCAGTTAACTGCCTGCAATCCAGCCACAAACTGCTGTGGAAATTCAGCCTCGTGGAGGCCCTGAGCCGTGGCTCTCTGGGAGCTGGTCGGCTCAGCTTAGTTCTGTGAAGCCGACGAGGAGTGAACCAGGAGTCCAGGGATGTATTCCGACAAGTGAGGGTCCCAGGGTCTGGTGCCCGGTGCACGTGGCGGGGTTGCAGGGCAGAAGGGGCGGAGTAGCTGGGACTCCACAGGGGTGCCGAGCTCAGAAGGCCCTGGGCCCACCAGTCGGAGCCCTGTCCGTACCCCGAACAGCGATTCCGTTTCAGCAAGGTGACAGCATCTGCCCTATTACATTCAGAGTTAGCTCGACTACTTTTGGTTTTGTGTTTTCATTTATATTTATTACTTTTCACTGGGGCCTTTTGGTTGTATAAGCAGAAAGTGTCTATATCTAAATTGATATCGAGACATATTTCAGGAATATCCCTTGAAAATAATTTTATTCAACCTTAGAAATGTTTGAGGATTTTCCTTTTTCCTTTACGAGAGCCCCTTCCATCCCTCCAATTTGAGAAAAACCGACTTGTTTTCATGCCAGGTAAAATAAGGAATGAACTTAAAATGAGCTTGTCTTCAGAATTTGTGTTCTAGGGTTCTCCTGTGACCTAACTAAGGATGGGCGCCAATGATAGCACAGACATCAACATCTTTAATAGAAGACTGCATAATTACCCGAAACACCTGCTAGACGCAAGGAGGCGTAATGGACGAGGATGGACATAGCATCGATGAGACGGGGAGAGTCGGAGGGTCAGGATATTTAAGACGTCGATGCAGGGGTATCTGTACTGCTCATCACAGAAACATCGGTGTGGGGAACGGACAGGTACAAACTTAGTGCGAAGGCGGAATTTAAACATAACGGAACTAGAAAGGCATGCACACAGGACACAGCACTGCTGGGGGAACGAGGAAGGAGAATGTCGTGGGGTGCCAGGGAGGAGCAAAGGGCCTGGCAAACACAGGCTACCCAGAGGACATGGTGGCGGGGTGCTCTGGTTTGCCCAAATGCCGCACACGGGGTCTACACACAGGACCAAGGCTCGTTGGCAGCCAGAGCTGTCTCCTGAGACCACACCACGGCTTCACAGGGCCCAGCATCCTCCGCCTTGAGCTCCTGCCAGCCGGTCTGCTCTCGAGCGAATACTCAAAAGAATCCTGTTACAATACGTGTGTCGAATATCACTCCGCTCCCCCGTGGTTTCCCATCTCACGAAGAGTAGCTGCCAAGGTTGTCACAGGGGCCTGCCAGGTCCTCTGTCGCCTGGCTCGTGGCCTCATCCCGAGTATCCGTCTCCTTTGCTCTCTGCGCTTCGGCCATGCGGCCTGCTCTCTGCTGCTGACCACGCCAGGCAGGCTGCTGTCCCCGGGCCTTGGAGCCTGCTGCCCCTCTATCCGAATGCGCTTGGCCCTGATTCCTGTGTGGACACTGTCCCCCTCCTTCAGGTCCTTGCTCAAATGTCACTTTCCCAGTGAGGCTGGGACTGTGGCCTGTCTTCCTCTCCCACACCCCACACTGCTGTATGTCCCCCAGAGCGTCCACCCTCTTCTACGTACTGTCCACCCCATCTACTTGACTTTCTACTGCTGGAATGCAAGGGTGACAAGGACAGGGACCGGCTGTATTGTCACTGCTGTGCCTGGCTGTACAAACTGTTCACCAGCAGGTGCTTCATGAATGTGTCATCTACCATGTGGTCACTCCCCACCTAGCTCAGAGATTATGGCACCGTGAGAGGCCCCTACTCCACCCTCCCCCTTTCGCATCCCAGAGGCCTCAGCTCTGACCTCCAGCCCTGCATGTGTGCTCATTGGTTAAGTGGACTTCTTCTGACCTCTCACCTCTCTTCCCAGCCTGGACCCCACATGGAAATATGTCAGTGATGCTTAAACTCATGACTCCTTTGTCCTTCTACTGTACCTGATTAGCCAATATCCCACATCCGGTTCTGGGCAAACACCACCACCTGTTTTCCCTTCGCCTTTCCAGCTCTGCCAATCATAGCTAGTGCAGCCAAGTGGGTGACAAGATCTTCTAACGGATTATGCCATCTACCTGAAGCTGTGTCCTGTGAGACTGGGGCCACTGCAGACTCAGGGTCCACTCCTTGTGGAGCCCTGGGTGCAGCTTGCCCCCATCACCTGTCTGCCCAGCACCCTCCACATCTCCGTTGACAACTCTTCCTAATCGTCACTATCCTTCTCCATTACTCTCTAACACTTCATTCTCAAAAGATGACCTCACCTGACACAATTTCAAAAATGTAAAGCTACTGTGGTGAGCAGACTTGACATGGCTGAAGAAAGAATCAGTAAGCTTAAATAAAGATAGAAAATCCCGAAACAGAAATGCAAAGGACACAAATTAAAGAATGAAAAAAATAGAACAAAACATCCAAGAATGTGGGACAGCTTCCAAAGCAGTAACATACATAAGTTGTGTACCAGAAAGAGAAAAAAGGGTGAACAGAGCAGAAGAAATATTTGAAGTAACAATGGCTGAGAACTTAGACCATGCATGCAAGAGAGTTGAGCAAACTATTTAAAATGTTGGAAAAAAAATGCAATTAACCTAGAATTCTATATCCAGCAAAACTATCCTTCAAAAGTAAAAGACAGACTTTCTTTGACAAGAGCTGAGGGATTCGTTGTCATTAGACCTGCCCTGCAAGAAATGTTCAAGGAAGTTTTTCAGGTAGAAGAAACATGTTATAGGTCAGAAATTTGGAGCTACAACGAGAAAGAAAGAACATTGAAGAAGAGGAATAAATAAAGGGAAATGAGAGCTTTTTCTTTTTCTTAATTGATTTGAAAGAGAACTTTAATGATAGTACTGATGCATTGGGTGATTATAGTATACATTTAAGTGAAATGAAGGGCAGTCATGTCACCAAGGATTTGATGGAAGAATTGGGAATACTCTGTTATAAGGTATCTGTGTTATACATATTCTTTTTTCTAGTGATCTTTGAAAGTGGACTGAAAAAAGAAAAGAAAAGACCAAACAAGAAATAAAGATTAGATGCCGAGTCATTTCTACTATTAGAAGAAATTCAAGAATTTAGTGACTTTAGCAGGTGATTTATCAAGTAAAAGTCCTGAGACTCTCAGATGGTGGGTTTCTAAGTTGATGCAATGGGGACATGACCCTTTCTCTCTAGTCCCATCTGGATTAGAAGGCAAAAACCGC